GGCATGAAATAACAGAAGAAAAAGTGCCAAGAAATTTAGCGAGATCAACAGTAGTCCTTCAATCAAAAGCGTAAATTCCTTGATATACATGAGAAGTTCAGAAAACAAATCAGTGTTCTCTGAGGAAATATGTGAACGCGCTCTTTCATCATCACACCCTTTCTTTCATAGGGAGGAACCCAAGACCTGTATAAAATGTAGGACTACTCTAACCTTGACGATCAGATAACACGATCAAATGTTATTCTTGAGTTGAAACAATTTACTTTAAAATTTAAGATGTTAGAGATTTCATTAACAATAGTCAAATATAGCTCTCCTGAGGAAATTGTTAGATCACTCTCATTGCTCGTTGCTCTTGTTTTTATCCCCCACCTTGCCCTTACTCAGAATCACCTTCTTTTTTCCTTATACAAATAACGCCGTGAACATCATTTACGCCTCAATTGAGTGCGTAAGTTGCCACCTTTGGTCCCTGTTTTATCTACCTCTCTTCTCGCCGTTTAAAGTTTGCCTTTCTGGTTGATCAGGTGTCCGAGACAAGTCTTAGAGCCGAAATGTTCATAGCACCGGACTGATTTTCATTTCTAATGTTTTGGGAGAGCGTTTAGGATCGTTAAGATCTAATTTTCCCTAACGAATCTTTGCGTCTTCTTTGCATCCATAAATTCCGTTAGATTTGATTCAGTAGGACAGTCTTTGAACCACCACCTTTCCCTTCCTGTTTTAGTACAGTTGTTATGCTTTCAATTCCATTTGCTAAACTAAGAGCCATAATGAGCACGAAGAGAATCATGGACAGTCGCTTCTGTTCAAAAAGTAAGATCCACCCGTGAATTCTTTGAAACTTCAGCTCAATAATGGGAAAAAAAGATTTTTTAATCTCGAGAAGGTGAGTGGGGAAAAAAATGGGGCAAAGAAAAACGTGAATCTGAGCATTGCGACATTGAGCTTTAAGACATGCATTACAAGTCAGATTTCAGACCCTTTGCTTAGACAGGGACTATCTAAAGGACATACTATTAGTGCGGTAATATGCTCGCAAAGTGCTTAGTCTAGATGAAAAGAAAGGAAAAATAATCGTGGTGATGTATTGTTAAAAAGTTTATACGAGGCTAACCTCGATAATAACGACGGCTATAACTGAGACCCTTTCATAGTGGGGTATTTTTTAACAGACATAATGTACTACCAGAATTACTAAGACTATACCCCCATGACTAGTTAAAATTGGATAAATGTAAAGGGAGGAGCATCCTACTTTCGGAGATCGCTTGTAGCATCTCTCGCCTCGGCCAACCCTCTAACCCACGAGATTTAGATATCAATTCTCTGCAACATCTGCCACGCATTTCTTATCATTTAGGGTGTAAGAATTTGGTGTGAAATCAAACTATATCCCAAATGCTACCTTCTTGGATCTTCTTTAATTTTAAAGATGTAGTGATTTTGTGATGGAGACAAATTTTCTTTTTACCCTATCTTGGAGGTGGAACAGTCGGAAAACATAAACCCTACCTTACACGATTTGTAAACTGAATATCAGTTTACGAATACATACGAGACTCTAATGATGATGATGATGATGATGACATATGAAGATCAAATGTTACTCTTGGGTTCAAACAATTTACTTAAGATCCTAGAGATTTCACTAACAGTAGTGAAATATAGTTTTTCTGAGGAAATTGTTAGATCACTCTCATTACTTATTGTTCCATATCTTGTTTCCCCACCCCACCCTTATACCGAATAACCTTCTTTTTTCCTTGTGTCAAAGGCGCCGTGAACACCATTTATGCCTTGATTGAGTATTTAAGAGGCTGTCTCTCTTATTTCCACCCGGTCAATTTTGCGTCAAAAATAATTTTGCCTGAAACTCTGTTAACAGAAAGACTTTACCTAGGAAAGAACTAAATTAGATTTGGTTTGATTCGAAATAATTTTCTGACTGCATTACGGGCCATAATTATTTCCCAGTCCGTAGGGACCGTCGCAACGTCTCGAAAATTGAAAAATAGGCATATTTTGTAACGTTGTAAAATATTTGATTCGCATAGTTAAGCCACAGAATTTATATCAGATTGCTTAAAAACCTTTCTGGTTTGCCAAGAAAGTTAGAATTTGCCCTCTCAACAAATTTGAAAAGGCGAATTTTAGCATATTCTGACCACTAGAAATCGCCATCGGCCGATGGCCGTAAATAACCTTGATTTAGACGCTACGTTTTGGGATTTGGGACCTGGTTGACGATTCTATCCTACACAGCCGTTAAGTTTAGACCTTTATAGGCAAAAATATGCAAAAACCCCTGTACGTTTTCGATTTTTAAAAAGTTATGACCGTTTGAATCAGCACATGTACGAGCATTCGCGATTTTTTCGCCTACACCAAAATCGTACCACTGGAGCAGATTTCGTCATAAATACAGCTTACCCGCTTTGCAGCCCGGCTTCATGGCTCACTTCAGAATTTTTCTAATAACCAAATTGGTGAAATCCATGATAACTTCAACAAATAGCTAGGTATTGCCTTCGAAAAGTAGGCGGCATCCATCGTGATTCGTGGTATCAAAACAAATGCCGGAATTGGCCACATTTCGCGGTGAATCACCCATTTAACATCGCTGCAGAGCTGAATTTTTTCCAAAATCAGAATATAAACTCTCCATGTCAGGAAGCTGAGGGAGAAATGAAGGTTTTAGGCTTCTGAAATGAAGAAATAATCGCTTAAATTTAGATCCAGTTCGATGTTATACTGTTCTCACAAAGGTCCGCACAAAAGAGAAGACCGCTGATAGCTTGTGCCGTACGTTGTGCCATATGGTTTTGTTTTGTATCCCAAAGTAATATTTGGGCAGAAAAATTTTGGATGAAAGAATAAATGCTTTTACCTGGAGTTTGATATCATATAATTAATAAATCAATTTAAAATATCCTGAGCTTGCTTCTCTCGGTTCCGCGTCGATTGTGTCCACAGAACAGCAACCTGTCAATAGCCGGAGAAATCGGCTACCAACGTGTTTAAAACTTGACACATGCTTCGTATGAACAGATGTTATAAGTGTTGCTTTTGGTAAATTTTCAATCGATTTCATCAAAACATTTCACTGACTACTAGATATTATAATATATTACACTATAACAACGCCGTCAGAACTTGATATCGGAAGTAAAGGTAGTTTGTATCTGTAGAGCATATTCTACACTTTCAGCCACCGTATAAGACATTGTTTACATAAGTCTACTGAGAAACACACTGACAATCACTAATCACGTCCGACAATTTGTCTATGAGGATGTGTTTTTTGTCTCTCAATTTTACAGGGATCTCAAAATGACTACAGATGGCTCTCAACAAAACCACATTGAATTTCTGAAGTGTGTTATTGTGGTAACGTTCACAGAGGTCCTACGTATCGTAGCAGATTGGATGTGAGACTTTGATCTCTTTGTTAACTTTGTCTACCAGATCTTATCTCTCGGAATTTTCCTGGACGCATTGGATATCTTTCTCCTCATCCAGTGATATCCCGATCACACCCTGATCTTTTCGCCGCATTGCTGCTAGCCGGGAGAAAAAGCTCTGAACTTGGTTCTTTGTCAGCTACTGTCCTCTAGTGAACAAACGTGCATTTGATTCATTTTTCGCATTTCGCATGTCCACTGCAACTTGGGCGGGGTCGGCCTTTCGCCCAGTTCTTTCTCCAAGTGTAAACCGTGCCGTTAGGTATTCTTTTACCTTCTCTGAAAATCTAACGCTGCCCCTTGGTTTGCTTACGGCCCATCCTGTTCGTAAAGACGAGTGGGGCGAAGTATCCACGAGAGAAGTGAGTGGTGTACTAGAATCTAACGAACAGCTCGAACACTCGATACCAGCGGTATCTATCGACGAGAACTTAAGGGCCCAGTCCCTTTTGATTGCATCATACTGGCCTTAACCGGCTGACTGTATGCTTTCCAACGTCCAGGTTTAGCTCCAGCTGCGAAAAGGTTTCGAACACTTCAACACATCCAAACACAGAGCATTCAAACAATGGCGTTGTACTCTCTGTTTCCTTGCTGCCCTTTGAACGACGCTTGACCACACGCTTTTCAGGAGGATCATAAAACCCTTGAGATTCTATGGTTTGAAGGGACGTTTGACCTTCGTGCTTGATATAAATTACGTCATATGGAATGTACTTCCCTTTACCGATGCCATAACATTTCCAAACTCTCAGACCGATATCTCCATATTCGAATCGAAGTTGTGGAAGCTACTAAAATGCTCGATCTTATTTATACAGAGTGTTCTTTGATTCGTCTACTATTCTTACTGCAGCTGTTGTTCCCTTCACTGGGTGTTTCGTCAATGCGTATCCTCTGTCCAATGAAAGCTTTAACAACCTCGCTGAAGACTCGCTACAGACTGAAGCCTCTCTGGTTTCGAAAAAGCACTTGCATGCCATACTACACTTGCAGGCCTTCCAAAAAAATAAAGGGTTAGCGGGTTCACCCGCAATGATTAATGCGGACCTCTGTTATACGCGATAGTGCAATCGTTCAGATTTAAATTCCAAAACGCCAAACTTCGACACATAGACTTACAAGTGGAGTTCTATGACTGATTCTTGAAGAGAATGCAGCTGCAATCCAAAGTTTCAAAGGGACATTAAGCGCGAAACATGGCTTTAGTTTTCGAGTTTAGTTCGCAACAACGAGTCAAAGAAGAGTATCGACAGATGCCGACCGCTTAATTTTGGAGGTATTTGCTGGAGTTATCATAAAGTCCAGTTCACCAGTTTGGGAAGCGAGGAATATCTGAAATTTCACGACGGTCCCTATGGACTGGGAAATAATTATGGCCCGTAATGCAGTCAGAAAATTATTTCGAATCAAACCAAATCTAATTTAGTTCTTTCCTAGGTAAAGTCTTTCTGTTAACAGAGTTTCAGGCAAAATTATTTTTGACGCAAAATTGACCGGGTGGAAATAAGAGAGACAGCCTCTTAAGTCGACTTATAATCTGCAGTTGCATGCCATCTTTGTTCCTAGTTTTGTCCGCCTCTCTTCTCGCCGTTTGAAGTCTGCAGGTCTGATTTTCATTTCTGATGTTTTGGGTTTGCGACTAGGATCGTCAAGATCTAGTTGTCCCCAATGAATATTTCCGTTTTCTTTGCTTCCATAAATTCCGTTTAGATTTGAACGAATAGTACAGTCTTCCGGGAACCACCAGCTTTCCCCTACTTTTTCAGGACAGATGGAATGCTTTTGATCCCAGGTTCTAAACTTTGAGCCATTATGATCACGGAGAGAATCATTGACAGTCGCATCTGTTAAAAAAGTAAGATCCACTCATAAATTATTTGAAACTTTTGGCAATTTTTGTCAAGATCAAAAAAAAAAATGGGAAAAAAGATTTTTTAATCTCGAGAAGATGAGTGAGAGAAAAAGGGGAAAAGAAAACCGTCAATCTGAGCATTGCGACATTGAGCTTTAATACTTGCATTACAGGTCAGATTTTCAGACCCTTTCCTGGATCAGGGACTCGTTAAAGAACATACTACACGAGATCTATTCATTAGTGTAACAGGCACATATACATGCGGTAATTTGCTCACAAAGTGCTTAGTCTAGACGAACACGTATACAAGAAAACATAATCGAGGTGATTTATTGTTAAAAAGCTCATATGAGGCTAACTTCGATAATAACGAGGGCTATAACTGAGCTCTTGTAGTCATTTTTTTGATACTCGATGGACCATATTCATCTTCTTTACCCTCTGGCTTTGATTTCAAAACTAGGAAAACCAGTCAAGTCTTGAGAGTAAAGGATCTTAATCGTTTTGTCTGTCGACTGATTGGAACTACAATCATTTTCCTTTTCTTTTTCCCCAGAAAGTCGTATGCTTTTGCTTCACTGTTTCATTTATTGTCACGCAGCGAAACTACTTGTCATTAATTATTGCTGTTATTGACTTACTTGCCAAATTGCCAATGTTCAGCTGGTACTCAGCCGTTTCGTTCGCAATTCCAAACCATTTATATTCAGCGTAAACAATTCTTTTAGAATCAACCCCCAGATCCACTCTAAGCCTGTTGTTTTTATTCTTTTTAGTCAGCCGGAGGATGTTATCCAGTCCAAGCCAAAATTCACCATCGAGGAAACTTCCAAAACCATGTTTGTAGTCAGCCCAACTGCGGTTAAAATCAACGGAACCAGTTAGTCTTCTCTGGAACACTGTCCAGCCTCCACCGTCTGTTGTCTGGTCACAGTATACATCAAAGGCTTGTGAGTTGTCAGTTTTGATTTTATAAATACCATTGATTCTCTGACCAGATCTGTGCAGCTCAGCACAATTTTTAACTGTTGAATAAAAATACGAAAATTTCGTCAACAAAGTTGCACGTAAATGAGCAGAATGGAAATAAAAAAGCCGAGGATTGTAGATGAGAAAGGAATCTGACTTCGTCGACCACATCCTATGCCTGTGTGCGACGATTGTCTTTGAGTAAATTTTGTTTTGCCTTAGTTTTAGTGCGCATCCTCGCACATGTATGATTTGTCTACCCAGCCTGTAACTGATGAAATTGATGCAGAGAAAATCGAACGAGTGGTAATTTAGCTCTTCATCATTATGGTGTAAGAAGGTAATAATGTACACGCTGAAGATGAGATTAGAATCACCAACAGTATTGGCCCGAACAGCCAATTAGAAACTCTGAAAAGGGAATTCATCTTATATAATGTGAAGCTCTCTCTTGCTTTAAGCTATTAAAGGTTATAATATGTAACAGTGACAGACTGAAGAAACACCCTCATTTATAGTCTGGTCTAAAAGCTATTTTTGTGGGTGTAAGAACTTGGTACACATCACAACTAAGTGAAAGAGTATTCAGAATTGTCTGGGTCGACCACACACCTTTCCGTGGGTGATGATGAGGCAGAATTTGGGGCAGTGGCTTTTACGAATTACCGGTAGGAAGAATGAAACATCTTATGAGAAAAACTTATCTCAATTTGATCCCTACAATCAATTAGCGTTTGAAACTCTGACCATAACCAAGAAGTTGTGCATTGTCGGCTATTGTCGAAAGAATATTTCGTATTAAAAGTCACAAGAAAGTTCTCTTGTTGACTGTTGTGCTGATAATCGAATACTTATGTTGTGCTACATTGAAAAAGATATATATTACTGGTATTTAATGATTAGTAATAGTTATTATCTGATTGAGTTCTCCCACATCATTTCCTCTGCTTGATAATTTGACATTAATCGTTACCGCGGGATTATAAACTGGGTCATGGGGATAAAGTTATCTCAGTTTATAATTTCTTGTCATCACGAATACGCCACCGCCAGGAGTTTTGTGATGTTGAACTTTCCAGAGTTATGCTTAACGTGGGTGTTAATTCCTTTTAATAGCTAAACACTTGTCTAATTGTTAGAAAGATACTTAATCAGCTGCATTGTTATTCTGATACTTGGACTGAAGGGTTTAGGGTCCAAAAATCACCTGATGTGATTGTCCAAGGGCAATTGTTAGCAGACAGAAGTTTGGATAACTTGAGCTAAAAAATATTATTTCTTCCTGACAAAAAAACACACAAGGGTAATAAGGGTAGTAATAATTGCTCCATTTTTCGTTCCATGATAACACTCCATACAAGTTGGGAATTTTTTTCCGAGGTCGTTTCCTCTCACATAAACTAGACATACAATTCATAAATATGTAGCAACTGCTTCACTATTTCTTTGTATAGACATTATCCTTGAGCGCATGAGTAAACATATTTTCTTAAGTGTGCTATTAAGTTCATCAAAGTACTACCCTCGCGAGGTTACGTTTTTCATAGAGAATTTACATGTAACACTAAAGATCAAAAAGAGAAAATAAAGATATTCTTGATTAAAGACCCTTCTTCTTATCGGCTTTTGTAGCCATCTTTAGATCAAAAGAAAAGTTGTGCAGAGTCGAACGCAGACTTCAGACAAAATTGTGTCATTTATCAAAACCATTACACATATTAGGTTGGGACTATTGCGTCCAAATGTCTTGTTACTGTCTGTTAATTTGCCGGGATAAATTAATTTGATCCGGATACAAAATATGAGTGAAGTGAATTAAAACCCTCAAGGAGCTCGTAATTCAATTATATTGCATGGCTTGGTGATTCGCGTGTTCCACTTTCGTATGGGGTTGGGCATGATTTCCGCCGTTGTTTCTAGAGGAGGAACCGGAGCGTGGGCTCGAACAATATTTAATGACCGAGCTTATGATAGCTGGAATGTTTCATTATTTAGTCAGCAATAATGATGACATCTTAGGCCCGGCTTATCTTTCGTTACTTTCTTGCTTAACGGGAAAAATACGCTCAAAGGTTATATTGGAAGTAGTCTAAAGAGATTAAGTGTCTAACCTTGACATCATTGACCGTTTTTTATGCCTTAAGGGCAGAAGTCTAGAATGAAGTAATTTTGCAGAATTCAGAATGATGTCGCTCTTATCATGGTTGTTACTAAAGACTAAACGTTCTCCCGTCTGTTTTCTTCCTTTCGTAGTCTTAGTAAAATCGATGCTTGACATACAAAGAGATCCTACATTTTTTAATAACCCTTTTGGTGGTCTTTAGTAGATATAACTCAGTCACTTGTTTACACTTGTGCGGTCAAATGTGAACATCACTCGGTCAGTTTCTCTCATATCTTTCTCTCAATATCACTCCGCAACTTGCCGTTATTGAAATATCATCTGGTTTGTTGCACAGACTTATACAGTCACTTGGAAATTTTACTCTGTATTGATTCCCATTAGTACACATTGGCGAGTATCTGTGAGTCATATTCAAATAGCCTGTAAGGAATGTTGATCACGTAATAAAGAAAAAACGTAGCATTCTCAAAATAGTGAAATTTCATCGTCATGATCATAATCTCTTTTTTTAACATAAGTGGTTGAAAAAAATTGCTGACGACCGGGGAACGCAACAACGGTCAAATCGTTGAAATTTTTTTTTTCTAAAAAAAAGTAAAGAACAAAAGACAACCAAAAAACAACGACGACGAGAAAAAAAAAACAAAACAAAACAAAACAGATTCGAATAGGGTCTAACCGAGTTGACTCTAATAACATGATTATGGTGAGCTAAGTTGATTATAGTAAATAGATTATATTCGCTCAGTATGATACCTTTCTACTTTAAGAATACCCTGCAGTTACATTACAAATATTTTTTATATCTTTTTGCTCTATTTTTGATTTTTCGAGTTAACATTTACTCTGTGTCAATTAAGAAATAAGCCTTGGACAGCCTATGTAGTCTGGAAACACAGACAAGTTTGGGCGCTAGTTGTGAATGAATTTAGCCTTTGTACTGGCAGCAGCACTAGAAACAGGAGCTTAAGAAATCCTTTACCGTGACTTTTGGTGACTTGCTTATTGTGGTAGCACAATAAGCAAGAAAAACTCAGCAGAATATCATCAAAAGAAAAATACCAAAAATTTACAACTTTGGCAATCATTACCGTAGGGATTATTTGCTGTAAAAAAGCCCTCAAGAAAAAGCTGACTGGCTATCAAGTGAACCTCAATAAACCCAAATGAAGTTTTGACGGGTATTGGCGCCGTTGTCGGTTTGTAATTAGCTTCGTCCGCGATTTTCTTCTTTCATCTTCTCGTTCTTACTCAACAGATTAAGACGTCTAAATCGTCCATTAAAATACCCATTTATGGAAAGGTTTGTCACGAAGTGCCTGATAAGTGCATTGATGTTTTGAAAAACACTGACCCCAATTTTCTTTTTCGTTGTCAAATACTCGGTAAACAACGCAAACCAGACTAAAAGATGCGCGGCATGCCTCCATGTTAATTCTAATGATTCCATGTTAGGTCTCATACCACAGACTTAGAAACAAAATACGAACCAGGTAAGAACTGACGAATTCTTAAAGCGAGGAAAGCCTAGAGTTAGTTTAGAGGAAAGATTTTGTTCAGCTCTGTCAAGTGGGATTGAGGGTTAGTGTGGAGAGAGATGAAAGTTATAATCAATTGCCGCTTGTGAGGCTTGACTGTCCTTCGAATTTTTCAGCTATCAATTCTATTGAAGCTACGAACTTTTTCAGTTAACTTTCATTGTTATTGCTTTCATAACAAACATCATATTTACTACTACCATCAGTCAGGCTTGAGAATGTCCTTTATCTTATATTTTTCTAAGTGGAGAAGAATATTTTAAGGTGTCTTAGTTCATTGAGGTTTAAGGTTGCTGCATGTTTCCCTACCTTGTTATTCAGCTAGAAAATTCTTAGCCCTCTCATTGAGTTTCCTGATAGGATTGTCTTGCCTTGTTGTCAGATTTCTTAAATTTGAATGTTATTTCCTAAAGTGGACGACTTGTGAACAGGCGGTGTGCGCACTCTGATTGCGTTGCATCATGATCGTAAAACGAAAAGTGAAACATTTACATTGTGTCGCGGTCAAGTGAACATCTCTGGTAGCAGCAAGTTAGCGTGAATAAACATGAAATGTAATGAGGATTCACTGTTTGTTGCCGTTCCTTCGAAAGTTAAAAAGTGTTTGAAGGCCTGCGCGACTCCTGTTATTCCTCCGTGACAAATTCGTCGTTAGGAGGCATCTGAAGAGATTCAGAAAGAATCGAGACTGCAGCCTTGCCCAAGAATCTATTCATTTGGCAGCAGTCACACGCACAGCCGATGGATGTGTGAATAATATCAAAATTCGCGAGTTATTTAACAAGGAATCGACCCTTGACATGCCAACGTATTACAAAGAGACAGTGACCTTCTAATACACGAACTATTTTTCATGTCATGCACTTAAAGGCGTAAATATGGGATTCGCCAAAGAAGAAGCCCAAATTCGTCATGCTTAACATTTTATTAAAAAAAACGTACAGATTTTCAAATATGCTTAAAAGAATAGAGAATACTCAGAATAAGGTTTTGAAAACCGTGTCTTTGGAGTTATCTTCTGCGGGAGAGACAGTATGTACTTGAAAACAGAGAAAATAGCGCGCACACATGAAAATATTACCTTTTGTAACACAATCTCATCCGGCTTTGCCAAACCTTAAGAACATACAGACAGGGAAATGACAGGAAACTAACCCTTATTATCACATCGCAAAGGAAATTTATTGAAAGATATCTTAATAACAGCTAAGTTTTCAGGTCAGAAGATTTCAAAGCGCAAGCGAATGGCAGGAGTCGCTCAAGCCTATCCACACCTTTTAACGATCGACTGCCCCACCCTTTCCGGCTTACCAGGCGTGTCGCCGTGTGCAATGTAGAGTTATTCAGTGGTCAAGTGACTCCTTTCATTGCTCTAATTCAACTGTCCTTCATT